AATAATAAGAAATTCCACTTCTCCTTACAACGCTCCACTGCTGATAGTGCCGAAGAAACTCGACGCATCCGGAAAAAGGAAATGGCGCGTAGTCATAGATTATCGGGCCCTTAACGAAAAGGTAATAGGAGACGCGTATCCCCTCCCTAATATCACCGCCATCTTTGATAAGCTTGGGTCTGCGAGATTCTTTACAGTCTTCGATCTTGCAAGCAGATTCCACCAAGTCGAAACGCACCCAGACGATAGACACAAAACCGCTTTTTCGTCTCGAAATGGGCATTTCGAATATGAGCGCATGCCCATGGGAATTAAAAACGCACCTCCAACATTTCAGCGGCTTCTAAACAATGTTCTTGGTGGAATGCTCGATTCAGAAGCATTCGTGTATCTAGATGATATTATTATCTATTCTGACACCCTTGAGGAACATGACAAACGAGCGCGAAGATTGTACAATCGACTTCGAGACGCAAACCTCAAGCTCCAACCTGACAAATGCGAATTCATGAAAAAGGAAGTTGCATACCTTGGTCACATAGTGGGAGAAGATGGAGTGAAACCAAATCCAGCGAAGATTAAGGCCATCAAACATTTCCCCGTGCCAAAAACTCAGAAGGAAGTTAGAAGTTTTCTAGGTCTCTCAGGTTACTATCGACGCTTTATAAAAAATTATGCTATGGTGGCGAAACCTTTGTCCGATCTATTGAAGAAAACGAAAGAGTGGAAGTGGAAAGACCAACAGCAGAGAAGTTTCAAAAAACTCCGAAAATATCTGTGCAGAAGACCTATTCTCCAATATCCAGATTTTACGCAGCCCTTTAAACTCACAACCGATGCTTCGGAACACGCAATTGGAGCTATGCTGACGCAAAAAAAAATGGTATTGACCTCCCTGTCGCATACTACTCTAAAGTGTTAAATGCAACTGAGCAAAAATATCTTAAGACAGAGAAGGAATGTCTTGCTACATTATATGCTGTGGAGCATTTTCGTCCATATCTATACAGTCAAAACAAAGAATTTATTCTTTCATGTGACTGTGAACCAGTTCATTGGATAAGTTATGTGGAAAATCCTGGAACTAGGCTCGAAAAGTGGCGACTTAAACTTCGAGGATACAGATACAAATTTGAGTATAAGCCAGGGAAAATAAATCGAATCGTTGAAGCCCTCTCAAACAACCCTGTTGATGATACCAACCCTCAGGACAAAGGGGATAGTATACAATCTACTGAATCAGAATGGTCAGAATCTTCCGAAGAATCTAATCAAGAGGAAGATCAACATTCCGGGCCACAAGGTCCTTCACCCTCGTTACGAGCATTTCCCATCACGCGAAGTCAAGCCGAAAAGAATGACGGTGCGCGAGTGAAACCTGATTCGTCTCAGAATAAAATTAGTTCAACAGTTCCCCCACCAACTAAAATACTGACCCGAGCAACAGAAAAGACAACGAGTCTGAGACCCAATCCCACTTTCAAACTTCCATTGACCTCGAAATTACCTACTGCAAACAAGCAATTACGAAACCCTTCATCATCATCTTCTGAATTCCGAACAACAAGGTCCACCAGAGACACAATAAAAAAGGGTGTGTTTGCACCAAAGACAATTCTCTCAAGGCCAACAACAGTTCGCCCACTCAAACCTATACAAAAAAATCCAAAAGATTTCTCAGCCACTGGAAAACTCTTAAACCCAAATCTGCCCGGTGCAAGAAAAAGAGGTAGACCTCTAGGAAGCACAAACATTAAGAAGAAAGAAGACGATTATGTTGTCCCTTCTAGCAGCAAAGTCACTGACCTAGACACTAGCTGTGTCGCAAGCAGAACACGAAAGAGGAAACGCGAATCTCTCACTGAGGCCAAACCACGAGAGGAAAGAGAATTCTCTTCGTCAGATGAATCCGCTACGGAAAGCGGAAACGAGGAAAATTCTGATCCTCCAGTTTTCCGAAAAAGCCATAGTGTATTTCCCAGCCTACCATTGCATCCCCCAATAAGACAATCTTCCTCCGCGAGTGACAACAATCTAAAACCAACCCTGCAATCTGAAACCCCCTTTTTTTAAATCAATACACAGACGTTTATGTAGATGGCGCATGTTGTGATAATGGAGGTGTAAGACCACGTGCGGGAATAGGTGTATGGTTCGTACCAGATCATCCCTTAAATGTCTCCCGTAGATATCGAGGAAGGCAAACAAACAATGCCTCAGAGATTGAAGCTGCAACGGAAGCCATCAGACAAGCAAAACGTGCTGGCATCGACCATTTAAGAATAAAAACTGACTCCAAGGTTCTTTTACAAGGAATACAAGAATGGGTTCCAAAATGGCAAACAAATGATTGGAAAACAAACGAGAATAAACCAGTCAAAAACAAAAAGGCTTATGAACGTTTAGTTGACGCATTAAAGAACATAGATGTCATTTGGGAACATGTACCCGGTCATGGCGGAATAGATGGGAACGAGAATGCTGACTGCTTGGCAAGAGAAGGTGCCATGCTGGAGCCTGATTCCAGTTCTTCCGGCACCGAATCATCGGACAAAGAACAGGCTAATGAACTTCCGCTGGAACAGATAATCGTAACTGGATCTTCTCAACCTGTCTACAGCGAAGAAAGTTCTGAACTAGCCGAAGGAGCCAACCAAGAACAAGAAAATATCGCACCCGTTTCAGTCGACCATGAGAATTCTATTAATCTATCGATCAGAAAATTTGATGAATCTCTGCAACAACGAAGATTAAATCACACTAACAACACTCTGGCATGGGACCACGAAGGTATGGACAAAACTCCACGAAGAAAGGCTCACATTTCCGATGACGAAAGTGACGAAGAATACTTGGCATACCTAAAATCACTGGACCCTTGCCAAGGTCTCGACGATAACGTTTTCGAAGGGCGACTAAAAAGATTCCTTGAAGGTTTCGACAAGCATCGAACAAAAAGTCAAGAAACTACGGAGATACCGCATCCCGAATCTGGACCTCACTTGATATCGCAACCATCCCCATCTGCACTCCCCACCTCTGGAATTTTGAAAGATACACCGCTGACAAGCCGCGCCCCTTCCAAGAGAAAAGGAAGTGTAGTTCAATTCAAAGACATACCGAAAATAAGCGAAGTGCTAAATGTCAACGAAAATCTACCGATATTCACCCCGGCCCCTTTAACCTCTCCAGGGGCCCAATCTACCCCTTTCACTCAGTTTCGTGCCAGGGAGAATGAACTAGTGACCGACAATCGGAAACAAAAACCAAACATTGTGCCACGACAGTTACAAACTGAGAATGACAATTTGTCCCCTCCAAAGCGACATATCCCCCACTCCGCAACATCGGTAAATCTTAAAATCCCGGTCCTGGATTCGTCGTGTTCGTCATCCACGGAAAATTCAGATAATGAATGTGTGATTACCCATAATCCTTGCGATTCTGTGGAAAACTCGGAAAATGTTTTCCACGAGTGGACAGAACCACTAACGTATAAGAAAGACAATATAGCACATTTCATATCAGAAGATTATGAACCAATCGACTCAGTTGCAAAACTTTTAATTGCTACAGAGAAGATTGATTTTCAAGACATCCGGGATAACAAACCAGTGAAAGGTCAAGTCCATGTTACACTTTGCGGTCGATACAAAGTATACTCGATTGTAGTGAAAAAGAGACATTTGGACGAACTAGACTGGAACGACGTTACGACGGGGTTAAAGAACCTAAAGTACGCACTGACCTTAGACAATCAAACACACTGCCGTATGGCTAATTCGGGAGATTTGTTAGGAAGTTTGCCACAAACAACAATGGCGGGCATCTTAGCAGGAATATTCCGTGGTGGTGATATAAAGATCACTCTCTGCCACGGTAAAATTGAGGTTCCTGCTGAGATCCTGCGACCAAAAATCATTGCCGAATTTCATGCCAGTCTGATCGGAGGTCATAAGGGCATAACAAAGACATACCGTCGAATTAGGGAACGCTATTATTGGCCTAGAATGCGAGACGAGGTCACTCAGTTTGTGCGAAAGTGCAAAAGTTGCCTTGAGAACAAACTTGTTAGGGCACGAACTCGAGAACCTATGCTAATAACAGATACCCCAGCAACCCCATTCGACAAAGTGTCATTGGACACAGTGGGAAAATTAAGAACTACCCCTAATGGGAACCGATACATTCTCACGATGCAAGACAATTTTAGTAAATACTGCATCGCGGTTCCCATCCCAGACATTAAGGCCACAACTATTGCACACGCAGTGGCAACGAATCTTTTCTCTCTGTATGGAGCACCTCGATGCGTGCTTACTGACAGAGGAGGGAGTTTTGTGAGTTCCCTTATGCGTAAACTCGAAAGAATTTTTGGCGTAAGGCAACTCACAACTTCCGGTTATCGTCCTCAAACCAACGGGGCACTTGAAAGGAGTCATATCGAGCTGACTGATTATATCAAACATTATGCGAATGATTTCGACGATTGGGATCGTCTACTTCCTTTCGCCATGTTTAACTATAATACGTCAGTTCACGAGGCGACTAATTTCACCCCATACGAATTGGTTTTTGGTCGAATGGCTCGGATTCCAAGTTCGTTCCCACAAGGACCTGAATTGGAAACTTACGGTGTGTACCTGAGGGATCTTATCGTTAGGCTGCATGAGCTGCAGAATTTGGCCGCACAGAGATTGATCCATGCAAAGGAGAAATCAAAAGCACACTACGATCTGAAAGCTCGGCCTTCTAACGTTAAGATCGGCGATAAGGTATATACTTATAAGGAAGTAAGGTCCAATAAATTCGACTCCCGTGCTAATGGTCCATATTCTGTGGTCGGATTGACCGAGAATAATAATGTGGTTTTAGAAGATGAGACTGGCGAGAGGTTCGTCAAACATAGAGATAAGATAATGGTTGCCCATCTGTAACCATTATCTTCCACCAAAATCATTATAATAAAAAAAAAAAAAAAAAAAAAAAATTTGTTTTAGATACAACAATGATGACAACACATTGGCCCTTGAAGTTTCTGTATTTCCTTCCCATCCTGATGACATATGCAAAATTCGAGGATCAGGATAGCCTACGGATGCATGGAGAAGGGTACGACATTACCCCAGTAATTGTCAGCAGTGGGATTTATTTCGAGCACGTTTCTGAAGTCCGAAGATCGACCAGTCGCTGGAGAGTAGCAGTGTTCCTTGACATTGCCAAACAAAGACGTCATTTCAACGACCTAAAAGCACGAATGGAGAGGATGAAAGAACTATGCCAACAACAAGAAAGAAATTGCAATGGACCCCCAGACTCTTTCAACTGGGAAGACAGATGGGAAATGGTAGAGGAAATACAAAACCAGTTCCAAATTCAAATCCGGGAATTACAAAATAGTAAAGAAACATCACCAATCAGATTGTCATCCCAATTGAGAGTAAGACGGAGCGTGCCATTACTTGGAATTTTGGGAAAGATTGCTGGACCAGTGGCCGGTGTCCTAAATTACGACGACGGGGAACGCTACGACGCCGAAATAAGAGAGCTAAACGAGGCACAAACCAACCTCTCACATTTAGTAGGGAAGCAGACCCATGTTATTCGATCTCAGTTAGATACTCTCCACTCTCAGTATCAACATCATGATGCTCGAATTGAACAGATTGAACAAAAATTGAGAAACCTATCATCCACAATTAATGACATCGTATCACCAAAAGAGGAATTAATGCGAAGAGGAATAGTGTCATCCATCTTATCAGGAATAAAACTAGGTCTGGACCACAACATACGAATTACATCCACCATGCTGGATGCAATACATGACGCTCGGAAAGGTCGACTACACCCAGGAATAATCTCATCACAACAACTGGAGCCTATTCTCCGAGATATTCAGGACAACCTAACGCAAGTCCGTTTTCCTCTGCCCGGTCCTAGGGTTAGCATCGACGAATTAATCAAAATAGCGACGACCTCTATTTGGTGCGAGATCGAAAACATAAAGATACTCATTGATATTCCATTATTGGAGGAGTACCGCTATCAAGCGTTCAAGATTCATCCCCTCCCTACCATACAAAAGGACTTAGGTAGTGGAAAACAAAGAGCATACGTGAATTCAAAATACAACTACCTCGTTGTCGATGACGCAAAGCGAACTTACTTGTTTCTTAGTGAAAAGGAGTGGGGAAGTTGCCGAACCACCGCAGCTTATCATGCTTGTCTGGAAGGCGTGCCCATCTACGAACTTCACGAACGACCCTCATGTGAACCTATGCTTCTCCTTAAACCAACTATCGAAGCCATGAAATCCTGTCCAATCAGAATAACATCAAATCTGAATTCTTACTGGACACCGCTAAGAACACTGGCCTCCTGGCTCTATTCTTTTGCAGGACCGGAGATTGTCACTATCTCTTGTCATTCTATGAACCCAATCAACCTAAATTTAACTGGAACCGGAATAATGAAGTTAGCTCCAGGATGTTTTGCGCGAACCGAAGATGTCACCATTCCAGCCAATCCTGCGCAAAAAGGACAATCTGAGCTGATTTATGGAGCTGAATTGCACCTGAACCTATTAGAAATCTCGCCTCTTGTATCCACACACGCCAACCTAGCTCTGACCTTAGAAGAACAACAAGCAGAATTGAGTAACACCAAATCAATAACGTCTCACTTCGACGCCAACTCCAAAACACTCGACGAGTTGGAACAAGAACTACAGGATTTCGCAATACAACGACATTTTAAAAGCAAACAGGCCACTTTAGTTTATGGATCATATGGAGGATTGGCCCTAATTGTTGTCTTTATTCTGCTGTATGTCTGCAGGAAGCCTATATTAAATGGAGTCAATACCCTTCAAAACACTGTAAATCCCAAACGAGGACAAGTCAAACTTGAGACCCATTTTCGACCCCAGCCGCCGGAGGTAAACGAGAAAATCATTAAGTCTAAGATCAATGAAACAACGCCTCCGACGGATCTCACCAGTATCAAAGTGCCAAATTCAACCTTAACTGCTGCAGGACCATCGGACGAGAAACAACCGACCGACCAAGGATCAAAAGAAATCTTTAAGACATCAATACCACAGAAGAACGAGTCATCCGAAGGATGTATGCCAACTACATCCAAGTTCACATATTTATCATCACCGAAATCAGTTGTCACATTACCAATACAAGGACTACAACCAGTGTAACCGTAATGTGGTAAGAATGTGCAATTATTAAGGTAAGAGCAGCAATGATTTACGTAGGAAAAAAAATCTGCGGCATGAAATAATAATATCTCATTAGCAAGGGCACCTCGTCATCGGTCTAACCGATAGGAGCTAAAAGCCATTTCACTAACTGCCGACTGAAGCGCCCTTAAGTGCCCGTTCTCCCTTCTACCACGCAACCAAAGGTACCCGCTCTCAGAAGAATAAACTTATGAAGGCGAGTGCCCGTGGCTTGCAGCAGTGTTAGGTCAACACGTTATCATTGCTGATCATTGCCAAATAATTCATTAATGTAACATACATGAGATTTTCCTCACTTGTTCCAAATATAGTGATGTGTTCAATTAATTAATATTTCGTAATATTAGTATATTGATATGGACGTGATTGCTATATAATTGTTATATATATGTGTATATATGTATATATATGTATGTATGTACATATATGTAACTTATTGTATCATTGTAATATTATTATAATAATTATATGGTAATTAATGTAATAATAATAATAATAAAATAAATAATTAATAATATATGGGTGACGATACGTCATAATTATTATAGTGATATATATATGTATATATATATATATATATATATATACGTATATATATCTACATGGGTATAAACCATACGGTATAAAAGCGGGATTAATTAATCAAGTAAAATTTCAATCATGGGATAATTATATTAAAAAAAAAAAAAGAAAAAAAAAAAAAAAAAAAAAAAAAAACACAACAAAACGAAACAAAAACAAATAAATAAAATTTTAAATAATAATATAAAAAACAAAGGTTGTGTTCAACGACGAAGCGCTCTCTCTCGCTCTAACGGAATGTTCGCGACTCTTTACTCCTATAGCCACAAATGCACGGCGGGTTCTCGCTCGCTCTCATTTAAAATTTAACATAGAATACATACATACCCCGGGATCTTTATGAAATACGCATTCGCTTATGTTCCTATACCTATCCTCTCTTTACCCATTACACTTCCCAGACCTACAAGCTATGCTGCCATGCTAACACCAAGCATGTGCATTTCTTTTGATATCTAAACAACTGATCAATTCCAGATCAATATTGGGACAATTGATTTAATGTTGGAATTGTAGTAACCTTTAAAGGGTTACAACATAGAATGGAATTTCTATTTTTGAAATGTCCATTATTTCCAACTTACATTAATCCTATTTTCAGAGATTGATAAAAAAAAAAAGAAAAAAGAAAAAAAAAAATAATAATAATAATAATAATAATAATAACAAATAGACAAATTAATATTTGTTTCCAAAATTGAAAGAATATTTAAAATGTTCTTTCCTAAGAATAAAAGAAAAGAAATGCATTTCAACATAATGCACCTGCAAAATTGCAAATTCAGCAATTTCGGCATAGCAACAGGTCCAACGCCCTGTCCCCACCTTTCCACATTCTTTCCGGAAGCAAACTATAAAAACACATTAATTACCCATCTAAATTGAACAGTACGGTCTCTACTCGCGAATAAGCGCGTACGATTAAAAATCCCAGGCAGTCTCCCGTCCGGTAACTAGGACACTTTATTGTTTGTATTGTCATACCTACAATATTGTTCGGACGAAAATAAAATCCAACTTACTCCGAAGTCCGCGGAGGCAGCCTAGAAGCCGAATCAGTGAAGATATATTTTATCTTGTTGAAAGACCGGCCGGATCCGCGAAATTTCCGCGTCCGCCCTGTGTTTGGTGGTTTAGGAGTTAGAATAAGAGACAATTTGTGAAAATTTGTTTAGCGCCCGTTGACGAGTGCGACGGTAGTTTTTAAGTCCGAACGCCAGGACGGTAAGTACCAATGTATCGTTCCAGGCCAATTAAATCCATTTTCTACCTTTCCTAAAAATTGTACGAGGGGCAGATAATTCGAGTCAATTTAAATTTAATAAATAACTGTATAACTGATATATTTTAACTGTTTTAAATTTCTTTATTCCTTCTTGAGATCTGATAGGGTAGATTTTCCGAATTTTCTAGGAGAATCTCAGCTTCGTGGATATAAATCGAATCCCATAATAATAAACAAGACCTTTAGTCTTGTCAGTTTGAACTTCCGAGAATCTTAAAAATAGGACCAACTTAAAAGTCTACTTTAATTTTAACAATTAATAAATTATCAATTGTTTTAAATATTAAATATTTTTCTGGTTCGTAACAAAAATTTTTTTTTTTAAATATTAATAGGTAAAAATTTAATTTTAAGTAAATAAATTGAATAAATAAATTAAGTTGTATTTTTAAATGTATTGTAAAAGAATAAATTATTTTATTAAATTAAAGTTTTATTTATTTTACCTTTTGTATCAGGGTTAATTAAAATTATTTAGTTAAGTAAAAATTTCGAAATTAATAGAGATAAAATTTTAAAGAGTTAAAGTAATAAATTTATTTAAAATAAAATTTTTGTAATTAAATGTTAATCGTGTTAGAATATTAGTCCTTTAAAAAGAGTTATTTGGCAACCATGTAGGATAAATATTAATTTTAAATCAGCCCAAGTATAAGAACGTCGCAACGCGGCGACGCTATGCTCGAGGATATGAGGCATTTTACGTGAAATGTCCTAAGTTGAAATTTCAACTTCTTGAAAAAAATTGAAACTCGAGGAATTTGTTGTTCTATCAAGTAGAAATGTGACCCAAAAAATATTTTTGATTTTTTCGAAAAATTGGAAGGGGTAGAGGGGGGTCAATTTGACCAATTTTGCCAACATCGGCTACTTTGTGAATTTTTTCTGAACATACTTGTAATGGGAAAAATTTTTTAGAATATGTTTCTGAAAGGTTTTTTCGTCCTCTTTCCAATGGTGTATTTTATTTTTTAATATTTTAAAAATTTACCCTAATTTTTGATAATTTATATTTAATTTTCAATTTCCCAAAAATCGGTCCGTTTTTTTTTTTAATTAATTATTGCAAACGAAAGCTGAGGTTTTTTCCTATCGGCATGTAAATTTTCAGAATGCCCTTTTTTTGTTTTTGAGTTATTGAATTTCAAAGAATAACTTGCGGCGCGCTGCGTCGCGGTTGCACTGAGCCGCGTGGCAACCCATGGCAACCGGCGTGAGACGAGGCGCCCGGGACGCTGCGCGCCGCAATTTATTCTTTGAAATTCAATAACTCAAAAACAAAAAAAAAGGGCATTCTGAAAATTTACATGCCGATAGGAAAAAACCTCAGCTTTCGTTTGCAATAATTTATTTTAAAAAAAAACGGACCGATTTTTGGGAAATTGAAAATTAAATATAAATTATCAAAAATTAGGGTAAATTTTTAAAATATTAACAAATAAAATACACCATTGGAAAGAGGACGAAAAAACCTTTCAGAAACATATTCTAAAAAATTTTTCCCATTACAAGTATGTTCAGAAAAAATTCACAAAGTAGCCGATGTTGGCAAAATTAGTCAAATTGACCCCCCTCTACCCCCTCCAATTTTTCGAAAAAATCAAAAATATTTTTTGGGTCACATTTCTACTTGATAGAACAACAAATTCCTCGAGTTTCAATTTTTTTCAAGAAGTTGAAATTTCAACTTAGGACATTTCACGTAAAATGCCTCATTTGACACTCTGATAACGTTTGAGAATGCCTTTAACTAAGGAATGCCTATAAAAATAGTTAGAAGGACAAAAGAAATTATTATTTCTTTTCTCCTTCTACTAAATAATGAATATAATAAATAATTATTAATAATTGTACCAGCGCAGTCAATGCTGCTTACATCGAACCTTGCGGCAATATTATGCGGTAAATAATAAATGTAAAATTCATACCCAAATTTTCTGTAAAACATAAAAGGAGGCGCAATGCTGCAGCCTATATATATATTCCATTTGTCAATTACTGTCTACAACTAAGGAAATACACTGTGAGGTTGCGCGTGTGTGGGGATGGTCGGCGGCAACACACACATGCCTGCGCGGCCGCCGTTTATGAACACCAGCACACTCACTGGCTTCCCCGGCTACAGAACTAATACCTTGACGGTTTTCATGCTACGGACACCAATACAAGCGCGCTATGCTTGCCTCTAATCGCTGCCTGGTTGTGCGTAGAACTTTCCTCTCCCTTCGGGGCCCATAAGCTGTAGACTACAGCTTCAAAACAAACGCACGTGCGTTACAGCTGACGTAAACTACAAGGCGGCATGCCTTATGACACTTGAATTTATGAATCAAGTCAAATGCACACAGAAACAATTTAACAATAGTTAAACATTTTGTTGTAAACATTGCTTTTACAACAAAATGCCGGAGGACATTAGGTTGTATGTATATGCATATATATATATATATATATATATATACTACTCGATATGTAAAATGCATATACAAGCAACCTATAAAAAGTAGGAACAATATAATTACAATGAATAAATTATATACACTATTATAACTAAGATAAATAATAATTCTATTAATTAAACAATATAATTAATATTTAAATTCTAAGTTATTTCAAATAATATTTCAAAAAAGTATCATGTTAACAGACCGTTTCCGTTCTCACGGACCTACCGTGAGATCCAAAACGTCAGCAAAAATGCATAGACCAATGGGCCCATGACTTACTCCTACTTCTAAATCTTTCCCCACTTTGCACTAAAGGCAAGGGTTAGAGGCTTGTCGCGAAATTTCAATCATTGCAGTACGATTTCTCGCTTCTTCTCGAAGACACCTCTCCTGGGTCTAACCTAGTAAGTGTTTTGGGACAGAGAAATTTCGGGATTCGCCCGTCCGCGACCCGGAACCCGAATTTCTCGTTGAAATTTAGGGCAGACGTTAACTTCTCAAATCCTCTAAGCCGGTGGAGTTCAGTGCGGGCTGATTTTGGTGAGATTTTGGAATTATTAACATAATTAATAATTCTAAAATCTTGTTATTTATAACCGGCCGGTTGCATAGATATTGCCCGCGTCCGTCTCAAATATCGGTGGCCCACGAGCGCGATCATAACCAATTATCGAATTATCGGTTGCATAAATATTGCCCGGACTAATTCGGTAAACGGTAGATCCGCAGTGAGTTTTACACAGTTGCGTGAGACGGCCGGTTGCATAGATATTGCCCGCGTCCACTCACCACAGGTGCAATCTCGCAAACGAAAGAAAATTGCGCGAATCTTACGTCGCGATTTTCGGTAAAAACAAGAACAAAAGAATTTTCGCCCGACGGATGCTTTGTGATTCAAAAGAGGAATAGCTCCGCCGGTAGTTTGTAAGTAAATAAGTATCGTTTCAATCACATATTCTAACACACACACACTTTCCACTTGTAATACACTATAACCATTCTGTATTCAAAAGGTATTTTGCTATTTTAAAATAAATCATGAAT